ATAGCTGTTTCCGGCGCGGAAATGGCTGCCTTGATTTCGATATCTGTTGTGCTCAGCACGTCATCGTTGAGCGAATGATCCTGCGAGGTTCGGTCTTGCTGAGTCTGCATTTCGTCGATCGGCGGGAGGCGACCAGAGATGTCAATTTTGGGTGCTAATGGGCGTCAACAAGGCAGTTCTTCGTATGCTTATGTGGGCTCGCTCGACTCGTCTCTGCGTCTGTCTCAATTGTGATAGATGTTAGCAGACAGGCATGCTTCGCGTGGCGTCGCGTGCAGCCAATCCTGTCCAGTCATACAGGACATCCGCGGAGGCAAACACCCCGCCACTTCGATGGTCAGCGGGGGCATCACGCGTCGCCCGTTACGATGTCGCGTGTAGTCGTGCATTTTTGGCAAACCCAAGGTGGTAAGAGATGAAGTTGAATGTGGCTCGCGTCCATGAGCAATGGATACGTCGCTGCCCCAGCTGGAGCCGAAGCTTGTCCGCGCTAGCCCAGTTAGCTTCAGATGTCACATTTGCGCGCCATCTCTCTGGACAGTTCCATGACTGATACAAGTGAAGGCTGTGTTCTAACTAAGAACTGAGATAGAAGGCACTTCACGATGATGCGCAATTATCTCCAAAGCTAATTCCAACATATTACTTTCCATGTAGGTAGGGCGTCATGATATTCGCACTATGCAGTATGCTTCATCAGCACCTAAGCAGTGGCCCTTTACCACAAGTAATAGTTCCTCCCACACTTATAAACATTGCACCTAACTTATCAAGCAAAAAAGTTGGATATATGCATCTTTTACCAACTTTAGGTATGAACGCTCCAGATCACGCGTAGGTGTCTTCTGTATGGGTCCACGTCATAAATATACATACAGTACAGATGCTCTATACCTTCACGTCCTCCACCTTCGGCTTCTCAAACTCAGCCTTGCCATCTTTCACGGTGGCATACCGTATTGTGCCCGATGCGTCTGTGTTGGGTATCGGTGCTTTTGTGCCTTCTCCTATTGACTTGATCTCCTCTTTGATCTTGCGCGTGGCGGCGTCTTCAACGGCGCCTGGTGGGCTGTCCGCAATCTCGTCAACGTTTCTTAAAGTAAGGACATCGCTGATTCGGGAAGCGCGAGACTGGATGAGCATGGTGGTTGGGCCTTCGAAACGGAGGAATAACTATGTGAATTAGCATTTGTGACAAGTCTTTTCTTAGGCCTGTAGCTTACTCTGTCGCCCCAGACTGTTCTCCGCAACCATGTCTTGAGAGTGTAGTATGTGGTTGCCAGAGCCCGCCATGTGCCTGTCTTGCTCATAGTTCGGAAGAACTTGGTGTTCTGGACCATTGAGCCGAAGCCAAGGTCTGGCACTTGGAAGCGGAGGTTCGACGACTTGAATCTGAAAGGAATTGGCGGGGTGTTGGAGGCTGTGTACGCTACGACGTTGCTAAAATGCTGTTAGTATAAACTTCGGCGTATGTATTGTCTCAACATACCTAGGATGCGCGACATAGCTTTCGCCAGCCTTGACCTGGACCTGGTATATTTGCCCGCTTCCTGCAAGCGCAAGTAATCCCCTGCCAGTAATATATGTGTTTCCCCAGTGTGCCAGCCCCAACTTTACATTGTACTGCGGCTTCAACTTGAGAGTGTGGCCAGTCCAGGCGAGCAATGCATTTCGTTGGCTAACAATCCAATCATCCCTTCCGTCCATGTTGACCGAGACGATACTCGATATGGGTGCCTTTGTGGAGACGAGAGCTGTGACGGGGCTCGTCGAAGACACTTTCTGGTAGAGGAAGGGGATGCCGACGGGGGCCCTCTGGAGGGGCTCGAGGAAGGAGAGGGTTGATAGCGTGTTTTCCGACTTTCCGCTGAGGCCGACGAGTGTGCCGCGGCGGGTGTAGAGCGTCTGTGAGGCGGAGAGGGAGACGGAGAGGAGGGAGAATGGGGTGCCAATGACTTCGAATCGGGCGTCTGACAATTTCTTTAGTCTTTTTGTGGTTTATTTGATTATATCGACTTCTTACCTGGTGTGTGCATGGGCGTCGCGGTGCCCTCAACACTGACTGCCTGCTGCAGCGCGGGCTCATTTGACGAGCTGGTGGCTGATATGTTGATGCATCGCGCTGCCAAGGGCGTCCGCCGTATGGCAGCGGCGGATGTGCGCGAGGAGTTCCTCCAGGGCGAGGCAGCCGGTCGTAACATGGCTGTGCCGGGCAATTGGCGCGTGACGGGCGGCGAAGATGTTCTGGTCAAGCTCGGAGCAGCGATGATGCAAGAACGCCTCGCTTCAGCCCTGCCGCCCAAAACGCGCTAGACAACGTGGGATGCATGCGGCTGTCTAGGTACTCACGAGCAAACACTCTTGCCATCTTGTCCTCTCCGCCATTGAAGCTCTCCACAGCTTCTCTCTCCTGTGATAGCGGTGCAGAGACCTAACATGTGACATCGCCATGTTAATCCAACCACTCGCCCGCGCCGCCAGTCGGCCGGGTCTTCGATCGTCCAGTTTGCGCCCGCATCCTCTCCACCACGGCATTCGCGTATTCACCTGCTCTCCGCTACACAGAAAGGATGCGCACGGTCAGCGGCCCAAGCCCGGCTCTAAGCCTGCCATCGAAGCCACCAAACCTGCCGCCGACCCCGCCGCGGCCAAAGTCGCAAAGACGGATCCATTGCTGCAAGAGCAGGTCCTGACCAACAAGGAGCAGCGCAAGGCTGACTGGGCCATTATGAAAGAGATGTCGGCATATCTGTGGCCAAAGGACAACATGGGCACGCGCTTCAGGGTCGGCATCAGTCTGGGCTTGCTGGTAGGCGCAAAGCTGCTGAACGTCCAAGTCCCCTTCTACTTCAAGAGCATTGTAGACGCCATGAACATAGACTTTGCGGCTGTTGGCGGCACAGCGACCACAGTGGCAGGCTCTATGATCATCGCATGTAAGCTAGACCCAACAATGCATCCCATGTCCACCCTGGCTGAGACTCCCTTCAGACGGAATGACTCGTATTGGCGCCACTGTTTCCCAGGAACTGCGCAATGCCGTCTTTGCCAGTGTCGCCCAGAAGGCTATTCGTAAGGTCGCTTGCAGTGTCTATGATCATTTGCTAAGGCTGGACCTGAGTTTCCATCTATCGAGGCAAACAGGAGGCTTGACGCGCGCCATTGATCGCGGTACCAAGGGTATCAGCTTCTTATTGACTGCCATGGTCTTCCATATCTTCCCTACAGCATTAGAGATCTCTCTAGTATGTGGCATTCTGACGTACCAATATGGCTGGCAATTCGCTCTCATCACAGGCACAACCATGACCGCGTACTCTGTCTTCACCATCATGACCACCTCCTGGCGCACCAAGTTCAGGAAGCAGGCCAACGCCGCAGACAACAAGGCCGCGACGGTCGCCGTCGACTCCATGATCAACTACGAGGCAGTGAAGTACTTCAACAACGAAAAGTACGAAGTCGGCCGCTACGACAAGGCTCTGAAAGACTACGAGAAAGCTTCCATCAAGGTCGCCACCTCCCTCGCCTTCCTCAACTCCGGTCAAAACATCATCTTCTCCTCCGCCCTTACCGCCATGATGTACCTCGCAGCTAACGGCGTGGCCACCGGTCAACTCACCGTCGGCGACCTCGTCATGGTCAACCAGCTCGTCTTCCAGCTCTCCGTGCCCCTCAACTTCCTCGGCTCCATGTACCGCGAACTCCGCCAAAGTCTCCTAGACATGGAAACACTGTTCAACCTCCAAAAGGTCAACGTAGCCGTCAAAGACAAGCCCGACGCCAAGCCCCTCGCCCTCAAAACGGGAGAAATCAAATTCGAAAACGTATCCTTTGGCTACCGACCCGACCGACCCATCATCAAGAACCTCAATCTCACCATTCCTGCGGGCAAGAAAGTCGCCATTGTTGGGCCTAGCGGTTGCGGAAAGTCGACCATCCTAAGACTTCTTTTCCGTTACTACGACGCACAGGAGGGGCGTATTCTGATTGATGGCCAAGATATTCGCGATGTTACGTTAGATAGCTTGAGGAGGGCTATTGGTGTCGTGCCACAAGACACCCCGCTCTTCAACAACACTATCCAACACAACATCCACTACGGCAACCTAGAAGCGACACAGGAACAAGTCATCGAGGCGGCAAAGAAAGCGCGTATCGACGAGAGTATCAGCCGTTTCCCCGATGGATACGAAACCATGGTTGGTGAGCGCGGAATGATGATTTCAGGTGGTGAGAAGCAAAGACTAGCCATTGCGAGACTCGTCCTCAAGGACCCGCCGTTCTTGTTCTTCGATGAAGCTGTACGTCCTTATCCCTCCCTACCACTTCCCTCTTTCACCAATGACTAACATAACATCCCACACACAGACATCCGCCCTCGACACGCACACCGAGCAAGCCCTCCTCTCACACATCAACTCGCTCGTCAAAGAGAAGCGCCGCACGTCCGTTTTCGTCGCCCATCGTCTCCGCACGATTTACGACTCTGATGTTATCATCGTGTTGAGAGAGGGTAATGTGGCGGAGAGTGGAACGCATCAGTATCTTATTGATCGCGATGGTTTGTATAGTGAGCTTTGGAGTGCGCAGGAGACTATGTTTGTGGAAAAGGATGAGGAGGAAGGGGAAGGTGGAGAGAAAGATGGGGGCAAGAGGAATTAGATAGCGGTTGGGAGATTTGGGGTAGTGTAGGATAGTCAGGGTTTTGTGAATGGTGGTTGTAAATACACGGGTTTCTTCGAGTCTTCGCGTGCGTCGAAGGTGCTGTTCATAAGGCGGATTTGAAGACTCAATTGGGCGTTCAAGTAACAGGAAATAGACCACAAGGTAGGCCGAGGTATCCGCAGTACGGAAAGGGTGAAGCGGACAATCAGAGTAATGACTTGGAGAAGCCATAGCCGTCCAAAGCCTGGGTGAAGAGCGATGGTAACATGTCAACACTGTAATGGTCTCCAAAGTTCCACACCGGATACCCCGATACATCATCCACCGTCCCTTCAACCCATTTTCGTAGGAAGCGACACCACTCTCTTAGCCTCCATAATCCCTTCCGTATCTACCTTAACACCCAACTTCTCCGCTACAGTAACGAACCCCTTACTCCCCTCTTTCATATCAATCCACACATCAACCCACCCCTCCCTCCTCGCCTCCTCAACCACCTCGTCATTCCAATCCTCCTCCTGCGCCCTCTTCACATACACAGTCCTCAACCCACACCCCTTCGCCGCCTTGAGGTCATTCAAATGCGCAGCCACCATCGCACATTCCTGCGGTCTAAGCCCCAATTTCTCCGCCGCGCCCAGGTAAACTTTCGGACTGGGTTTATACGTACCGAACATCTCGGCGGAGAAAATGTGCGTGAACGGTATCCGACTGTACGCACGTAGATCGGAGAGCAGACTCAAGTTCCCGTTCGACAGCATACATGTGTGAAAACCGCCTTGATTCAATAACGCCATACCAGCGACTGAATCATCCCAGGGGTCTAACTGATGCCATATTAGACTCAACGCGCGGATCTCTTCCTCGTCCCATAGACCCTCTAATTCCCACTCCGTAATGAGTTTCTTGAGTGCACTTAGATGGTGGTCGTCGACAGATACCCATGGTATCGATGGGTCGGCTGCGAGTTGTTTTGTAAAAGCCTTGTAGCTGTTTCGCCATTGTTGTGCAAATTGGCCCCAGTGTTCGTCGCTCATTTCTGAGGCGCGGAGGCGCAGGCGTGAGGCTAGGGATGCGGTGGCGGAGTTTAGTGATGTGTGGGCGCATTGTGATAGCGCGGTTGTGACGGTGGAGCGCCAGTTTACGCAGGTGCCGAAGATGTCGAAGAGGAGGGCTTTGGGCGGTGGGGTGAGAGACATGGTGCGTTGTTTGATTGGCTTTGCGGTGGTTGATGGTGGTGGTGTGGTGTGTTGGCGAGGTGGAAAGTTTATTTTGGCTGATGGTGTAGTTGGTGGTGGTGGTGGTGGTGGTGGTGTTGTTTATGTATGTACGTCACCGGTGGGATTTCCTGGAAATAGATGGTTTTCCGGAAATGTGCGTGGGTTAGATCTTACGGGCGCGACAAAAATCATACAGAATGTCGTATTCGTAATACAATACTCATATCACGACACTCTGATAGCCATGAGGCGCGAACGTCCCATGTGGCAGTCGCGTGGAGTAGACGTCATAGCTCTGATCTCTCCAGTGCTAGCTCACCAGCCACTTCCGTCCCAACACCGTCCGCCTAGAAGACTACCATCTCCTGCATCTTAAGCGCTTTACACAAAAGAACACAATTCAACATAAAGTAGTTCTAGATCGAGCTGACAACATGCACAAAGCTCCTCTAGAAGCCTGCCAAGCAGACGTCATCCCCAACCGTGTTAGCACCCCACACTAGCGCTTTGCGGGGGAACTTGGGGTAGGCCGAGCCAGCTCCTTCCGAGGTCAGCGTCGTCGGTCCCCTTGGACCGATCGGCAACGTTCTAAAACATCAGTGCTCATGACGCCCATATGCTTTCCCGGAAGAGCTACTCGTGCTTGACCGCATTCACTATCCTCAGGTCCGGCATATCGCTTACTTCTTGCTCGGCTCATAGCCCCATTGCCCGCGTTAGCTTCATTGTTAGACCTAGCAGACTACTTGCATTCTCTGCTTCACGAAACCAATTCACATCTGAGAAACGGACGGACAATATGCCTCAAGAACATATCCAAGACAAGGTCTATGCGACCTCCATCGACAACCCCGAGGAGTTCTGGCAGCGTCAGGCGAACAACCTGCACTGGCACAAGAAGCCATCCAAGGCGTTCCAGAGGAGCGTCAAACACCTGAAGAAGAGCAATGTCTCACATGAGCATTGGGAGTGGTTTGCCGATGGCGAGATCTCGACGACTTACAATTGTGTGGACCGCCATGTGGAAAACGGCAATGGCGATAAAGTAGCTATTTGCTGGGATAGTCCGGTAACCGGGCAGAAAGAGCAGTACACATACCAGCAGTTGCTACAAGAAGTTGAGACATTGGCGGGTGTTTTGAGAGAAGAGGGAGTCAAGAAAGGCGATGTCGTGTTGATTTACATGCCGATGATACCAGCTGCGCTCTTTGCTATGTTGGCTATTGCCCGGCTGGGAGCCATACACGCGGTTGTGTTTGGTGGTTTCTCGCCCGCAGCGCTGGCACAGCGGATTGAGGCAAGTCGCCCTGTCGCAATCATGACGGCCTCTTGCGGCATTGAAGGAGCGAAGAAACCCACTGAGTACAAGTCGATGATCGAAGGAGCAGTCCACAAGAGTAGCTTCAAGCCATCCAAGACCATTGTCTGGCAGAGAGATCAGCTTCGATGGGATCCCATAGTCAAAGAGGAGGGTCAAAGGAACTGGCAACGACTAGTCAAAAGCGCGAAGAACAGGGGGTTGAAGGCCGATGCTGTGCCTGTTAAGAGCGGTGATGGACTGTACATCATCTACACGTCGGGTACAACCGGGCTTCCAAAGGGCGTTGTCCGCTCAGCAGGTGGTCATGCCGTTGGGTTGAATTTCAGCATCAAGTACCTGTTCGGAGTCCATGGCCCCGGCGATGTCATGTTCACAGCGAGTGACATCGGCTGGGTCGTTGGACACTCTTACATCGTCTACGCTCCGCTGCTGGCTGGCGCCACTACGGTTCTGTTCGAGGGCAAACCCGTTGGAACCCCCGATGCGAGCACTTTCTGGCGCGTCATTGAAGAGTACAAGGTGACGACCATGTTCACCGCTCCCACAGCTTTACGAGCAATTCGCAGGGATGACGGCGATAACGAATTCTTCGAGGCGAGAGGACGAAAGGGTGCACTAAAGACGCTCAGGGCCCTGTTCCTGGCAGGAGAGAGGAGCGAACCGAGCATCATACAAATGTACCAAAAGCTACTCGCGAAGCACTGCGCTCCTGGTGCAATGGTTGTAGACAACTGGTGGTCTTCCGAATCAGGCTCACCCATCTCTGGAATCGCACTCAGCGCCTCTGCCGGACTGGACTTCTCTTCTCAAGAACGACCCGCGCCGCTTCCTGTCAAGCCTGGCTCGGCTGGAAAGGCGATGCCTGGGTTCGATGTTCGCGTTGTGGATGACTCGGGTAAAGAGGTGAAGAGAGGCGAGATGGGCAACATTGTCATGGCGATACCGCTTGCTCCAACTGCCTTCACTACGTTGTGGGAGGACGAAGAGCGCTTCTACAAAGGCTACATGAAGAGATTTGATGGGAAGTGGATTGACACTGGCGATGCTGGCATGATTGACGAGGAGGGCTACATTTCAATCATGGCACGGGCGGATGATGTGATTAACGTTGCGGCCCACCGCTTCAGTACCGGTAAGTGCTCTACTCATGTAATTGATGGCGAGCTCGAGCTGACAATATCCAGGCGCCATCGAGCAAGCCATCACGACCCATCCTTCCATCGCCGAAGCAGCCGTAGTCGGCATCCCCGACGCATTGAAAGGCCACCTCCCATTCGCCTTCATCACACTATCCACAAACAACCATTCCGACTCCGCCGTAGCAGACGACAAGCTCCTCGCCGAAGTCCAACGCCTAGTACGCGAACAGATTGGTGCGATTGCCAGCCTCGGAGGCATCATCCAGGGCAAGGGCATGATCCCGAAGACGAGGAGCGGCAAGACGTTGAGGAGAGTGCTGCGCGAGCTACTGGAGAACGCGACGCATGGGGAGTTTGACAAGGAGGTTAGCGTTCCGAGCACGATTGAGGACCGCGAGGCTGTCAATGTTGCGCGGGAGAAGGTGCGGGAGTACTTCATGGTTAAGGGCAAGGATTTGCACAAGGCTACGGAGGCGCGGGCGAAGTTGTAGATGTAATGGGATGGGTGGTGATAATATGTAGGGCTTCAAGGGTATATGTGGTCTTCCATCGTGCCTTTTGTTTGGTCAAGATTCTCCCATCGTGCCTGCCTATGTTTGGTGGCCAAGATTCCCCCCGTGCCTTCCTTCCATGTTCAGTGCCTTCCTCAATTGCCGCTCACTTCGCTTGTCGCGTATATGCCAACCTTGCTGCATTATCTTATCAGTTCGTTATATAGAGCGTTTGTAATGACGTTCGTTGTACGATCCAACGGCAGCTCGTATTCGCAGCCTCGCCGCCGGATGAATCAACGGAGTCGCAGCGGGCCGTCCCCAGGAATCGTTAGAATCGTTAGAAATCATTGTCAACGCCCCAGCGCTCAACGCCGCGTCACCATCACCAACACGTACTCGAGGTCCAACTCAAGCAGGGCAAAAAGGGATCCGGCTCCGTCACAGCGCATGTTGGTGGCCCCACCTAAACACGTGCTTGCACGTTGCTGCGAGCCATGGCCCAGGCGCTGGACTGGGCTCCGGGCTGACCTACATGACGCTCGTGCTGAGCTACCATGTTCCCGCCCACCTGGGAGCTTGACACTTCATCAGCGCACATATCAAGGCATTCCCTGGGTCGCTCATCTAGTCAGTGACCTCGGAGCCTCGTCACAGTCGCGCTGGCACTGGCTAGTCGGGCGTCTGGTCAGGCTATGCCTCGCGCCGCGTCGTCTGCAGCTTTGCACAAGCTTTCTTACCGGCAGAAGTCGTCGCAGCCAGGCGTCTGACATGAGATAGCAGGCCGCCGCCCGCATTCATGGCCAGAGGCGTGCCGGCGACGACGTCTGTTGGTGCAGTGATCCCGTCGGCTCGGCAGAATATCAGGAGCGCAACAGTGGGCCAAGCGACTATCGGCTACACGCTGTCGCGGCTTGGGGTCCAGTTCCCCGAAGCACCATGCCTCGCAGCCCACGCCGGACGACGACTGAAACCCTGGCGCAAAAGTGGCCGACCTGTCCTGCAATGTCGAAGCACCATTCACATGTTGGAGTCGGAAGTCTTCACCAAGGACGCGCTCACCAAGGGCGGCCGTGGGCCAACTGACTCCGACCTCCTTGTGTGGCTGGAGCCGGAAGTCAGCGTGCTGGTGGGCAGGCCGCTCGGCGGCTTTCTTGTTCCTACAGAGTCGAGGGTGCATGTGTAGTGCCTCTCTCCCCAATGGCACCCCCAAGGGGGCCCCCGTTTGCAGCCCTAGCATGTCCTAGGGCCTGCCGCCTGCGCTTGCGCACTGAGACGACGGCAGCTCTTCTGGCCGTTTGGTCGTGACGGCACCACCTTGGGACGTGACGGGCGCACACAGTGAGACCAGGCTTCCACGACCTGGGGCGGCACGGCGTCGTCGGCTTATATGGGCACGCAGCAGCCAGCCACGGGGCCGGGTCGGCGAGGCGGTCCTGAGTGCTTCTGGCTGCAGGCCCTGGGCTGTTTCTCGTCTGGATGGCTTGGATAGGACTAGGCGGATTGACGTTTGGCAGCCCCCAGTGCTGCAGCGCCGTCGCCCAAGGCCCAAGGTGCCAACTCGACGCAGAAGCGTAAAAACCCCGGAGGCCCATGTCGACTAATCGCGTTTCTTTTTGACCTCCCTCATCCATCACGCCGCTATCGTTGCCCCCGTCCTCCGTGCTGCCTGCCCATCCCACGTCGCCCGCGCTCATGCAACGGAGCCCCGATAGTAGACGCTGCTGCTGATAGGTGATGCCCCGGACTCGGACGCTTGCACCCTAGAAGCCCTGATCGCTTTGTCCATCGCCCGCTTCCAAATCCACATCTTCACGTGGGGACACGAGCCACTCCCAGAGAACCCTGACCACGTCAAGACGCCTCGCCCAACTTTCTCCCATCCCCTCGACCACCACCGGACCACCTCGCAACTCGACTTGCTCCAACGCGCATCTGCTCCCCGCTCGCGTCTGCCGCCCCTTCTGCGTCGGCCCAGCTGCACAGGCCTCGCTTCCGCCTCGACGTCTGCGTGCAACCATTGTGCTC